GATAGGTAGTGGAAAATTTTGAGACAGAAGCATTCATTATGACAACCCTAACAGCCATATTCCCAAGGCGAGTCAAAAATGTAGGGCAGCTGCACTGGTCCATATCAACCAATGAGTTCTAGCAGTTTTCCTCTCCACCAGAAGCAAGTCTTTTGTAAAGGTAATGGATCTTATTGGCCTGTTCTAGAGTAAGCCTCACCATTATGATGATGATGATGATGATTATTATTATTATTATTATTATTTTGCAGTGCAACAGGAATAAAAGTAAAGGGCAAAGGTTTCCCTTGACATTTAGTCCAGTCATGTCTGACTTTAGGGCACGGTACTCATCCCCGTTTCCAAGCCGTACAGCCACCGTTTGTCCGAAGACAGTTTCCGTGGTCACGTGGCCAGTGAGACTAGACACGGAACGCCGCCATTACCTTTGCACCGAGGTGGTACCTATTTATCTACTCGCATTTTTACATGCTTTCGAATTGCTAGGTTGGCAGGAGCTGGGAGAAGCAATGGGAGCTCACTCAGTCACGTGGATTTGATCTCACGACTGCTGGTCTTCTGACCTTGCAGCACAGAGGCTTCTGTGGTTTAACCTACAGTGCCTAGGTATAGCTCCTGGCAATACATTATTACCTAGAAACCTTATTTTTAAACCCCCTCCCTCTGGAGGACTGCAGAGGGGAGGAAGGAAATCTGAATGAGTGGCTGCAAATGATACAAACATCCTGAACCCATGTGTGCTAGATATACTACACTACTGTTCTTAAGGCTGCTTAGCTAGAGCATTCCAAAGTATTCTAGCTAAGTAGCTCTAAGAACAGACTGTGACTGAGGATTGTATTCTCAGTCACAGTCAGAAGCCAGTGTAGTAGCAGAGTACCTGTACATTTACACCACAGACAGCATATAGGAACAAATCTTCTATCATGTACACTAATGGTGTGTGAGAGAGGAAGCAGAGGAAAGCAGGACTATGAACAGTATATAGAAGTGTGCCACCAGTGAAATGTCAACATGTGTGTTGCCTGTTCTATAAGAAGTAGGAGCAGCAACATCTGGAATCTTAAAGCTGCTATCCAAACCCTTTGGAGGATGTGGAAAAAGCAAGCAGATAACAGCTTTATCACAGTTTGAATGATTTGGGGGCATGAGCTTACAGTGTCGAAAGTAATCAAATGCGTTAGATACGTGTCGTGACATCCTATCACATTCAAGATGGGAAGTGCAAAACATTTGCAACATATGCATGGTTTACCACAAAGATCCTCTTCTATGGTACAAGTCACCAGACCTTTGAACAACAGAATTGTATGCTCAGGTTTTAAATACAGGTTGAGCTTGTCTCTTTCCGTGTCTTCCTCCCTCCCTCTCACACAGAAACACACACACACAGTGAATGCCATATGGATTGGGATGTCCACATACAAAAGAGGATGGGGCTCCTGAACCTTCAACAGTTATACAGAAAAGGGAAATTAAGCAGGTGCAGCTTGTAGAAGACGTTACACGTTCTGAAAATCCCTTTCCTATACCACTGTAAAAGATAAAGAACCCCTGTCCTCTTTTGCTTCTGGGTGGGGAGGTGGTTGGTAGCCCAATCAGTGTCTTTCCTTGTTTGGCATGGGAGGCTGTTTCAGGATTCTTTGTAGTGGGGGCAGGGAGCGGTGGTGGGAAGGGGGGTGGGAGAGGGTGAAAGGTAGTCAACCTCCTGCCACACTCTTCCCCACTAAGGCTATGCCTGAATCTCCAAAAAATGTGACAATGAAGATTGCAGCAACCATAAGAATATTGCATTAATTTCCCATGCAATCAGAGTGATGCTCAAGGCTCTGCAACAAGAACACTTACTTACTGCATATGGAGTGAGAAGTTTTTGAAGTTCAAGCTGGATTCAGAAAGGGAAGTGGAGCTAGAGATCAGATAGGAAATATATGTTGGCTACTGGATTACATCAAAGAATTTCAAAAATAAGTAAGCCTGTACTTTATTTATTTATTTATCTATCAATCAATCAATCTTTATTTTGCGGTCTCCGACCGTTTAAATGCTTTATTTATAGATGACAGCAAACCCTTTGACTGAGTGAATTATGAAAAGCTATGAATCACCTAAATTAGAGATGGGTGCATTTCAAAATTTGATTGTCCTGATCTGTAACCTATACTCCAAACAAGAAGTTACAGTAAAAACAGACATGGAAAAACACAATGGTTTCTCATCAGCTAAGGTGTCATATAAAGGTGAATTTTTAAGATATTGTTAAGTGTTTTGCATAGCTTGATTCAATCATCAATCCAAATGGAGATTGCAACCAAGAAATTAGAATACTGATACTCTGAAAGGCAGCTATGAAGGAACTAGAAAAGATCTGAAAATGGAAAGATGTGTCAATGGAGACCACAGCAAAGACAATCTTACACCAAGGTATTCCCCGGTACTACGTATGGATGTGAAAACTGGACAGTGAGGAAAACGGACAGGGATGAAAAACAACTTATTTGTAATATGGTTCTAGGGGAGAACTTTATGCTGTGTCATTCCAAGGTCATTCATGGTTTTCATGTTCCTTTATCAGTATGTTGTCATGACATCACACACTGTCAGTGCCAAGGAGAAAGAATAACAGTACATTTGTACTGGAGATGTAGTCACATTGAGCATAAAACAGAAGACAGGCGTGGGACTTTTGTATTTCTTTTATACTACAGCTCCCTGAGGTCTGCAGAAATCCCCCCAGCCAGAAATCTGGGGGATGTATCCAGAAACATGAAGGCCTCTGCCCATTATGCTTGGGATAGGTACTGTAGGTGCCTCTCGGAAAACTACCAGACTCCTAATGCCTTGCAGCTCCCACAGAGCTTAGCCCCACCCACCATTTCCTCAGCGTAGCTGAGACAGAGCCATTATTTCTCAGCTATAGGTGATTAAAAACACTTTTTTTTTTTTTGCTAAAGCCCCTAGAATGTTGTCGGGGGTGGAAAGATAATCCCTGCGGATTTCTATAAACTGTAGTCCAAAAATTTTATAAACGTCCCAGACCTCATAGCAGAATTTCGCTGCAATAGGGTGAAGCAAGTGGAGTGGAGGAAATTAGCCAGGCAGAGGAGAAGTACAAATGAGGATCTGCTCAGGAAGAGGATGTCCCTTCACAGAGGTGGTGCAACTCATGAGGCACATCAGTGAAGCATGCCATCACAGCACTAGGCACAACATAAATCCCACACACACACACCCCAGAACACTGAGACATTGCCCAATAGGGAACTACTAAGTGTCAGAAACCACACTGAGCTGTCCTTTCTTGCTAGTTTGGAAGTGTCATGATGAAGCAGAGAGCTTGATGAGTCCCTTACTGGAACAAAGTTTTCTGCAATATGTTTTCTAACACAACACTCTGCAAAGCTAAAGCACAACCACCTCCCACATCCGTTTTCCTCCCCAGCCTGTCAAAGCGAAAAGAACCACCTCTGTGTAGGTCCCGATCAGAATAATGATTTATCAGTCACAGTGAACCCAGTCGGGATGTAGTCTGCGTGAAATCCCTTGAGGACCGTTGAACCTGCCCTGCCCTCCTCACTCATCAGCTGTAGGCATTTAGCGATGCAGGATGAGGGATCCCTAAGCCTCGTATTTTCCCTTTAGGGACACTTTGCCCGAATATACACATCCCATCACTTTATAAAGGGTGAATTTCTTTTTGAGGAAGGCGAAAAAGCTTTCTTTTGGGGTGTGTTTGTGTGACTTTTAGCTTAAAAATGCCTTGTGTTTATTTCCTGAAACACGACATCTGCACTCTTCTCCTTTCTGACGGCTCTACGGGCGAGGCCACCATCGACGAACAAACCCCACGGAAGTCGGGAGGGGCAGGGCAGGGCAAGGCAGGGCATTCGCAGGGCAGCACGACCGACAGGGAAGGAAATGGCCATCGTGGGTCAGGATGTTGTTACAAAGGGGCCTCGGCGAAAGCGTGTTGTTACGTCGGCCGTTGCGAAACGAACCGGGAGACCCCCTTACTTGCCCCTTCCGAACTAGCCACTTTCATGCCACAATAAAGCGCGCGCCCCCGAGCCTTTAAGGAGCGGTAAGAGGCTTTGGTAAGGCGACCCGGTGCCGAGGTTCCACGTTTCCTCCCCTCACCAAGGGACCCCCGCGAGGATAGGGGGGGGTGTCCGCGGGGGTTGCCAATGGCAGGTTTTCAGGTCTGCTCCCCCTTTCTATCTTCCCGCCCTGGAAGGCGGGAGAGCAGCTTCAAGAGAGAGGGTGAGGTGGGTGTATTTTTGCCCTCCTCTCTCGTAGCGCCCCTAAGGACACACGCCCAGTGCTTTTTCTCCCCCCCCCCGAAGCCCGCCGCCGACACGAGAAATCGGCCATTCATACGTGCATTAGGCACGACACCCGCTCCCAGCGTTTCAAGC